GAATTGATCGGTGAAATTTGTAGAGTATTTGTGGGATAAAGTGATAGTAATTCAATATGATAAGAATGATGTGAAGTTGCAAAAGAGTTGATGGCCGGCCTATTTATAGGCGTTTACAAGATATGTCTACTAACATATATAACGCTACTTGAACTTTACCCGATTCGTGAGCTAATATTATTGGTAATGGACTGGCTTATCCAATAAGGAACAAGGTAACATGGGCCAATTCTCCCCTAGCTAATTCATGTCCGTAGCTTGATTAGGCCTACTCTCGAGCTAACGGACTATCAGATGCAGCACATTATCCCAACAGTACATTTAATAAAAGTTGTTCTTAATTCGAGCAACTTATTAATAGAGACTTTCAATTGTGGTAATTTAATTGTCGTATTATAAATTACCCGCACTCTTCAATTCGAGCAACTAAATTCAATCTACTTTCAATTGGATTATTTAATCGTCTTTCAATAATTTAGTTAACTGACTTTCAGATAGAATTTTGAGCTGATAATTTATGGACATAATTTACAATTCATGAATACAATAATCACAAAATTTCATAAAAAAAACTTGACCGGGAACACCTGAAATGGTGGCGGCCGGGCGGAGGTTCGTGTCCGGAAGTTCGAGGAGAATCTCTCTCTCTACACCCACCCACCCACCCACACACATATCTAGAAATGTGCCTATCAATAATTGGAAAATGTGCGTTTCAACTGTGTAAAAGTTTCAACGTAAATGTGAAGGTTTGAATTTTGCATCACTTTAACTATAAATGTGCATATTCATGAACCATAATGTTAATAAAATTGTTGTTGTTTTTGTTGGTGCTGTCGTCGTCACTGACACCGCCACCACGATATCTGTTTACTCACTATATAATCGATTGCCCCCTATTTCTACTGCATAACCAAGATTAGTCCATTGATTATGGGGTGGTTTCCGGCAGGCGGCAGCGGCCGATTTTTGGTGATGGGCGGAGGAGAAGCTTCGGCGACCGGAACTGGAAGAAGACGGATGGCTGACCAGGGTATTTTTGTCTAAACACAAATAATTCTTTTTTATATATTTAGCTGATGTTTTAGGCCAATTATCCAAGTTGTGATTCTCCGCTGTTCGTCCTTATCTTAAACTAGACTGAGTAGAATTAGATTAGAAGTTATATATATGTCATCCTCAGCTCTTTAAAAACTTCCGGAATCTAGTCGATCTAGTCTAGCTATAAAATTCAGGTCCCAACTCCCGAGCCTTTCGTTTTCCTCGGCCTAAGCAAAATCTTCCAAACCAAAAAAAAAACTCTACTCCTTATTACAGAAGCTAGCGCGCATAATTTTTATTGTGTACGAATTGAAGAGCCGGCCGGCCAGCCTGATCGGAGTGAAAATAATATAGCTAGCGGGGTTCGAAATATATATACTATGTGCAAAGTGGTGGTGGCGGCCGGAGTTGTGTGCGCGGCGGCGGGCTTGGCGGCGGTGATGGTGAGGCACCGGATAAAGAGTTCCGGGCGGTGGGCCAAGACCATGGCTTTATTGGAAGAGGTGCAGGAGAAGTGCGGCACACCGACGGGAAAGCTCCGGCTAGTTGCAGATGCCATGACCGCGGAGATGCACGCCGGCCTTGCCTCTCATGGCGGTACCAAACTCAAGATGCTTATTACCTTCGTTGACAACCTCCCCACCGGGTGAGTATATATTTATAGTCCGTATATATTTCTTGTTTTTTTAATTGCCCACCAAGTGTTTTGCCCCGATAGGGTACACAAGTCATACACAACTTGTACATAAAATGTCGTATAGTTATCTGTGTAAAAATTTATACTTTTGTGTAAAAATATATCGACAACCGTCAGATACTCACATCAACTTTCAAATCAATCTATATATGTGCGGTGCTTGTGTGCATGAACAATATTTACCTTAAGGATGATATGTGTAATTGGTCCATTTTGAGATTGAGATCAATCCAATTTAAACATTTTTATTTTTAAAAAACTAGAATTGGAAAAGTAGGCTGGTGATAAAAATGATAATAATACTAACTTAATACAAAGTCATAGTAATAATAATAAAAATTACAATAATTTTTGGAGGGGTATTATTTAGTATCATATTTTTTGTTGGTTAATTTGATGTAACATTCAATGGTTCAATGTTCTAAATGCTAGTTACGTTGATGGTATTTTTGTGTGTCGCTAGTATATTTTGAATTTAGCTTGCAAGTTGTACCGTCAAAAACAGCTTGTAAGTTGTAAGGCTTCTATTCCTTAGTTATACTCCCTCTATCCTTTTCCTTAGTTATACTTCCTCTGTCCCATAAAATTTTTCTCACTTTCCCTTTTAGGTCGTCTCAAAAAATTCTTCCCACTTAACATTTTTGGACAATTTGTGTGGTTCATATTCATTTTACCTTTTTCTTACACAACCACAACAATACATTTCCACTTTATTCCACTTTCTTAATCTCCGTGCCAAGTCAAAGTGGGAAGAATTTTATGGGACGGAGGTAATACAATTCAGACATAGGAAGAGTTGAAGAAATCTTTATTCCACGTTGGCTATATAATACTCCTCTTGCTTAGAGCATCTCCAATGCTATAATGTATACGGTACACATGTGGCTTGAGAGAGATAGACACAAAATATTGATTTTATAACATTACTCTCTCATTCTTTCCACGGTCTTATGTGTTTTTATAAGTTTTTCTCTGCAATGTCAACCACAATGTCTACATCTAGACATTGTGTTTGACATTGTGAATAAAAACTTACCAAAATGATGTAAGATCCTTCAAATAAGGAGAGAGATATTCTATTTTTTGTTTTTTAATTGGTTATTTCTCATGCCACATATGCACCGTTAACATTTTAGCATTGAAGATTCTCTTATTGCGTTAACTACTTACAATTGGGCTTCCACTTTGTAAGGGCCCCGGGCCAATCTTCCTTGTGCATCCCGCATGGGCTTATATATATATAGGAGAAAATAGGAGAATTTATTTGACACTTTTCTCATATATATATATATATATATATATATATATATATATATATATATATATATATATATATATATATATATATGAGAAAAGTGTCAAATAAATTCTCCTATTATTATGAAAATGTTTTTTATGTCCATCAAATCAAATATCAGCATGTAAAAAATGGTCAAATTTGTGTTTTACTACCTCTGTCCCAAATTGATTTGCAAATTTGACTTTTCTTGGTCAAACAATTTCATTTTATTCGCTTAATTAGAATGTCAAAATTTAATTATATTCTAATTTGGAGTTTACAACTTTGAAGATATTTTAATGTAGTTTCTAAGTATGCAAATTTTAATTATTAAAAATTGAATTAATTATCGATAGGGAGGATTGACTTTTATTATAGGTTGACTCAAAAATATTGACTTTGAAAAACAATTTGGGACGGAGATTAGGTAATGAACTTGAAAAAAATGGCATTTTTTCCTTTTCTTTTTCTTTCTTCTCTCCTCCCTCTCTTTTCCGCTGGCTCTTTCTTTCGCCCTGTGGGTTAGTACGTTGCTGCCTCCCCGTTTCCCAATTTTCTTTTGCTTTCATTCCTAATCTCACCCCAAGATACCCCTGCTTCCCACTTTTCTTTGATTTTTGAATTTTGACATACCATTCAATCCATGGATAAACAAGAACAATAAGAACAATAATTTTGACATACCATTCAACCATAGTGTCCAATTTGACCCTTAGCCCATTATAAATTGATAGAGAAGATCAACATTTCATGAGACGGAACGTTTGTTAGAGAGGATGACAACGTTCAGTGAAGATGACTGGAGCTCTCTTTGCCGGAAATTGGCCGGAGAAGATGACCGACGGTCGACCCAACTTCTATGGCTTTGCCGAAGGTTGGTTGGGGGAAGAAGACTGGCTCTCGGATCCGACTAGTGATTGCAAACAAAGAAGGAAAGAAAGAAAGGTAAAGAAAGGAAAGGAAGAAAGAAAGGCGCAGGACAGGGGAGAGGGGGAGTGCGGGAGAAAAAAAAAAGATGACAGCCATCCCTGAGGGCCCCTAGCACCGACATGACGATAGGTTGGGAGGATGTAAATTGGACTATAGTCCCAATCTGACAGATAGAGAGTGTGAGTGTGGCTCTGTCCTCGGTACTTGCAAAGGCCCTATGCATTTTAGCATAGTAACCCCTCATCGCAGTTGTCAGGATTCGAACCCGGGACTTAACCCTTGCTACCAGTTGAGCTACGCCCACCGGTGGGGAGTGCGGGAGAAGAAAAGGGGAGGGAGAAGGAAGAGAGAGAGAAAATAAGGAGAGAAGGAAAAACAAATAGAAAAAAGAAAAGGAAAAATACAAAAATTGAATGCCACATCATATGTTTCTAACTACTAAAAAGTCAATTTAATTTTTTTGACCGGTTTATGAGTCTAATTGGGTGATATTTGGGTCACTTTTTAACACGCCTAATTGGTGTTTGAGGCGTTTTCAATTCGCTTTTGTTAGAACATTGCAAATAGGTATGCATAAATTTATATATTTAAGGCTAAAACATTTTTGAGAGATACTTGTTAATAAATTACAATGATAAAAGTTATGGATAAAATTTTATTAAGAATATTACTTTATACATGCTAAAATTTAAAATTTGACATCATTATAGTTACTAAAACTTACTAATATAGTCACTTTTGAAGAGAACTTTAGTGAAATTAATAATTCCATATTTTTTACACCTTATCACCTTATCTTCTTTCGTTGATCTGTGACCAGTTAATGTGACCATCATCATCACCACACATTTTTAGTGGGAGCCTCCATTAAAACGATGTGTGGTTATAATGATGTCTATGTAGGTCATATGATTTCACAGAAGATGTCATGTACGGCTCTTTAAATTTGTTGTTATATATACATGGTACGTATCTTTGTTCTGGAAAAGTTTATGGAGTCCTAACTAATGTACATGGCCGACATATATATGGTATTGTAATAAAGCTACTTACTGGCAGCTCTTGGACATTAATATTTAATGTTCAGATTTATTTTTTGAATTTTGTGTGTTTATATACATATATAAATTTTTGCACTAGCACTCATGTACATGTATTTTTTACACTAGTGGTTAAAAATTTGGTAGATTCTACGTGATCCGAGAGCCAATCTTTTTTCAATCAGAATAAAGTAGTTGAATTATTTAAATCTAAATTAAAAATGATGTAATGATTTGAACCAATCAAGTAAGTGGTAGGTACGGTACCCCATTTTTTAAATGGGTACCGGAGTTGTCACCTAAAATTTTTGGGTGTTCACAAGAATGCTTTCGAACAACCATGAGTTCACGATTGACCGTACATACCATACATATTATATTCTAACATTAAATGTACTACATCAATATAACATATTAATAGCACAGATTTTTTTGGCTAATATTATGTTATACCCCTCAAGTTGGAGCATGATGATTCAAAATGCCCAACTTGTGTAGGAGAAATGAATATGAGATTTGCCAAGTGCCTTGGTAAAAGTATCTTCAAGTTGCATGGTAGTAGGAACATAATTATGAGCAATAAGCCCATCATGGATAGCGTCCTGAACCAAATATAGCAGTTCACCTCTACGTGCTTAGTGTGCTCTTGAAAGACTAGATTACTAGCGATATGAATACTAGATTGACTATAAAAAAATAAATGAATTGCATGTTAGTTGGAGAATGGTGATAGATTCCAAGACTAGGAAGAAGACCGTTAAGCCATTTAAGTTCACGTAGCATCAACCATGGATCGATATTTAGCCTTAGAGCATCCACATTGATGCTACGTAAATAAACGGATTTTTAATGACATGTAGAATAACACGTAGATTTTTTCAAAACAATCTCACACTTTCTAAATTACATCATTCATCATCTCAAAATAATCAGATCTTTTGTAGGTCCCGAACTCACCAATTAATACTAGCTGCACAATAATCTTGAGATAATCTGAATTCATATTTCAATCCAGGATTATTTTGTCAAATAATCTCACCAAATAATCTTCACCACTTAATCATGATCTCAAAAATAATCCGCCACATCACCAACTTAATCCTCAAATAATCCTATGGATGGAGATGCCCTTAGAGAAGTATCTTACATATAGTATTTATATAATACACAAGAATCAATCACGAGTTTATTTGAAGATCAATTGGATGATGTGTAAGATTATTTTAAAGATTATCATTGCGAGTGAGAGATTATTTAGTGAGATTATTGAAAAAGAAAATCCGGTATCAAGATTTCAATCCCGGATTATTTTAGATTATAGTTAAATTACATTTAATGCATGTTCGAAAAAAAATTGATTACTTGAGTATTATTGTTGATGAAGAGTTTTAAATTTTGAGATTATTTAAAATTTATTGAATAAATGTGATATGACAATGATGTGTAATAAAAAAATCGTTTATTTAGAGAGCATGAATGGAGATACTCTTAGAAGGTAAATTACAAGATACCTACGAAGATAAATCATAGTTTAAGCTAAGAATTAATAAGCATTGAAGTATATTTAATTATTACACGAGATTATATATATTTAACGCACTGGAAACGAATGTGCATTATTGAAGTATATAATACTAATGCAATTAATATGTAACAAGAGATTATATTTAACGCACTGTGAAGACATACGTAACATTTAATATAAATTAGGAAGAGAGATATTTGCATAGTAAATCTGTTTCCAAATATAATGGATCCTCGTTAATTGATTCAAAATTTATGAATAACAATTACCGTATAACATACAAACATGTTGACTAAAATTAATTTAAAATGGCATGACAAACAGTTAGCAAAATAAACTAGAAAACAATATGATTTCTAAAATGCTCCATAATAAATGCACATCGTAATCCTACGAAATTAATATTTGTCAGGTTAGTATTAATTTTGATTTCTTACGATAAGCATTATTCTTATTATGTGATTCGAATTATTCTTACGATAAGCATTATTCTTATGTGATCCGAATTATTCTTATCTCGATATCGATGGATATCGATGGGAGAGAGAAGAGCGATGTGGGAGAGAAGATGTACAGTTGTTTGGTCGGTTGTGTAAGAGGGTTAAAGAGATAAAGTGGGGATACATTTGTCATTGTATTTATCTTTCCCTTTTAGTACATGTTATGGGACAAAAATAATGGGACACCCCAAAATGAAAAAATGGGATAATAACAGCGGGACGGAGGGAGTATATAAGTTATGCGACTTAATCAACAAATTCCCCATTCTTTTTTTGACCATCAAAACCAACAAATCCATTAAATCACAATAATTTTCGTCACATGGTTGATAATACAATCAAATAAAAAGAAGTAAACAAAGCGATAAAAAACCTTATGTCTGTCGTCCGCTCTCGAACCAGACATAGAATATATCACCTCAGCAGAAGCAATAATATTCGATGATCCTTTAATGGGCTTAATTTAGCCAATGACTAACAAACCAGACTTCTTATCACCTGACTTAAAATCTAGAATCTTTCTGCTAGGAAATAAGAACACGTCCAAAACAACATGCAAATCGAAGGAAAACACAAACAGAATAAAACGGAATTAAAACAGAGTTCACCCATCTTCTTCCAAACCTTAGACTTGCTTGCACTCCATGGCGGCGAATCAGGAGGGGGACATGCCCGCCTCTCATCCGCCTTAATAGTCAAGCTTTTGTATTGATTGACGATATCCTCCTTTAACATCCCTTGCCGCTGAATTGAAACCATATTCCGCCACAGCTTATCCACATTTTCTTTGTCAACACTAAACCTTCGACCAGAAATAACAGCAGAAGTCGAGCCCTAGCCACCAAAGCGCTGCATCCCTGGTCCCAGGCCTTACGATGTTGCGTTACGCCTTATCCGACAAACCTCCAGAACGCCGCTTCACACCTCTTCCTCGATGAATCCACGAACCACGACGATCGCCCTCGCCTCCTGTCCGACCCTCTCCGTCCGATCTCCAAATTCTGATAATAACAGGTAGCCAGCCGAAATCAACCCCGCTCCTCGGCTAAGCCGATAGCGGACACATCGATGCTAAGCATTACCTTGCGGCAACCCTAGAGAACGCCGAAGCCATAGATATCACAAATGTATATATAAAAAATCGTCTATAATGAAGTCGATTTTTAAAAACACACAAATTCCCCGTTCTTAAATAATGAATAGTCAAGTTTAACACAAAAGTGATATAAATTCAAGCTATTTAAATATTTAGCCAGATAATCCATATCATACCAAACATGCCCCTAAATTGTTTATACTCCTTATTCCATATGCTATAATTGTAAACTTTTTTTTACTTTCACTGTAAAATAATTCTCTACTCTTGAAATTCAGAAATTTTTTAAATTGATTATTACTTCGAATACTACTATTTCAACTTTTCTCTTTACTTTTTAACTTTTATTTTATTTAAAACACCTTTACAAGCTTCTAGTTCATATCTGGTATTAGGGATGACTGAACCGAGCCGGCCCGACCCAGAACCGGCCCGGCCCGTTACTGTTTGGGCCCGGACCGGACCGGGACCGGTTGGCCGGTTCCGGGCTTTTAGCCCGTTTGGGCGGGTCGGGCGGGTCGGGCTCGGGGCCCAACTTTTGGTGAACCGGCCCGGGCGGTTCGGGCCGGGCCCGGTTCAATTTTTTTTCAATTTTTTTTGCTTTTCTAGGTTAGGGTTGGGTGTTTTGGGGGGGGGTTTGGGGGGTGGGGGTGAAGGGGGGGGTTGGGTGTTAATTAGAAACCAAAAAAAAATTGAAGTTGACCCGGCCCCGGCCCGATTAGGCCCGGACCCGGTATCAAACCGGGCCGGTTCCAGCCCAATATTTTGCAAAAAAAGCCCGCCCGGGCCCGGCCCGGAACCGGAACCGGACCGGCCCGGGTCCATCCCTATCTGGTATAAAGAGATTTTTTGAAATAAAAGATTCTTTTTGGAAGCTACAATGTGTAGCTTATGAAGAAAGTATATAACTTTAAGCATTAATTAGCCACACCTCACAACATCCTGGTGTATCAAATAGAACTAAATCAAACAGTAAGTTTTTTCAAAACTACTATACCCGTTAGTTTATGAAAAATGTCTGCTTGATAAAGAATGCTCACAAAAATATATTTTCAACTAGTCATGCTAAATATACTCTAGGATGATTAATCAAGCTCACTAAAGTATATTTTCATCCAGTTAGGTTGTATCAAATATACTCTATGAGTAATATATATTCCGTACATTTAATCAAGCCCCAGATAATTCAATAAGACTTCACAATGTGTTTTGATTAGGGTAAATTAACATCGTATGTTTTTATAAACTTAGGCCTTGAGTAATGTTCTTATTATATGCTAGTATTTACTCTAAGATAAAAGCTATATATGTTTGGATGACATTACTATCTCAGTTCTTTAATTTAGAGAAAATTATTAGTAATATGACTAAAATAGTTGGTGAATCATATCATAAAGCATGATTAAAGATTTTTTTTATGTCTCTATTAATGGTGTTTTGCATGTAATGTACATGTTCTGATGCTACTTTTCTCTCTTCAATTTAGATATTACTTATATAGCGACATTAATCACATATAGATGAATATTTATTTAAATTTTACCGCAAGCTACTTATGCCAAGTTTATTCTCCCGTTAACTCAAATTTCATTTTCTTTAACTTTTCAAACATTTTTTATGATAATTTTACATGTTGTTGTTGTTGATGATGATAATAACCACTCACAATAATTCCAACTATAAATTATTTCAGAATAATCTCAACTTTAAGGGTCTTCTGCCAATAATGCTCCCTCATGATTGACTAGCTGTTTAGACAATTAAAAAAGAAATATTCGGGCGTATAATAATGTGAACTATGATCTCCCGAGTTTTATTAGGCACAGAAAATTAAATGAAAACTTTCATTAATAATGAAAAATGGTAAAAATGATTATAGATTTTTATATTTACGATACTTAACTATTTTTGGTAATTGGTAGTTTATGAAATTAAAGAATAATATATATATATATATATATATATATATAATGAAAAAATGAATATTATAAAGTCATAAAGAATATAAAGATAGTAGAAGAGGTCAATATAAAATATACGTAGTACTCCTTCCGTCCCAGAAAATACTTCCCAGTTGGACTTGGCACACATATTAAGAAAGTGGAATAAAGTGGAAATGTATGATTGTAATTGTGTAAGAAAAAACTGAAATGATTGTGAACCACACAAATTGTTCAAAAATGGTAAGTGAGAAGAATTTTTTGGGATGACCCAAAAAAGAAAGTGAGAAGAATTTTATGGGACGGAGGGAGTAGTAGATAGTAGAAGAGGTCAATATAAAATCTTTAAAGGAAAAATGAAAGTGAAACTAAGTAAAAATGTAAAATTAAAAAAAATAAAACCTGCATTTATGAAAGTAAGGAAGTGAAAAAATAGAAGATAATAATTTTTCTAAATGTTTTAAAAAATTAATAGCTAATCATCCTAATTAAATTAGCAAATAATTTTAAAATTATTTAAAAATCAACACAAAATGATAAATATGCAAAGGCCTAAATAAATATTTTTGAAAAAATATAAATAATATTTTTCAAAGAATAAAAATGTGACATAAATATATTTTTTTTTAAAACGCAATACGATTTAGGTTTAGTTAAATTTACATATTATAAAATTCTAATTATGATTTATTTTTAAAGAAATTCTGCATCATTTAAAAAAATTATTAGAGAATTCAAAGTATTTGTAGAATACATAGTTACTATTTAAAGGCGGACAAGCCAAATAAAAACAATCTTATTTTCAAATTATTACTATTTTCAATTGTTTCCAAAAATTGATACAACCTCCGTCCCATAATTTACTTCCAAAATAAAGTGACACGCGGATTAAGAAAGTGAGAATTGTGTGGTGGAGAGTTGTGCAAAGGAGGGAGAAATGCTGTGAACCATAAATTCTTTGCCAAAAAAAGAAAGAGAAGTTCTTTTTAGGACGGACGAAAATGGAAAGTTGGAATTATTTTCAGGGACGGAGGAAGTAAATTGAAAGGGATACGATAGTGAAAGGAGTTGGTGGGCTAATATTTCAATTTGGGTCGAAATAAAACAATTGATTTGAGTTTTTGCCACTTTTAGTCCTTTGACTATTATATTATTGACACTTTTGATACTCGACTTTGATTTTTTCCATTTTTAGTCCTTGATTATTGCATTACAGACATTTTTGGTACCCGTCTTTGAAAATTTCCATATTTAGTCCTTAAACTTTTGGTCCTTGAACTATTATAATAGTGACATTTTCAGTTCTCCACTTATTGTGTCTAAATCATAATGTGAGGATTAAAAGTGTCAATTTGACAATACTGTGAGGACTAAATGTAGGAAACGTGGAAATGTAGGAAAAATTAGAAATGAGTATAAAAGTGTGAGTGACATAAAAACTCTGCCAATTGATTTGATGATTCTAGCAGCAGCGTGTGTTTGTGTTGGGTTTTTCAGGGATGAAAGGGGGGTGTTTTATGCGTTAGACTTGGGCGGGACAAACTTCCGTGTGATGCGTGTAGAGTTGGGAGGAAAGGAGAAAGGAGGGATAGTGAGTCGAGAGTCTGAAGAGCTCCCAATTCCTCCGCATTTGATGTCAGGATCGTGTCATGCCCCCCTGTTCGATTTTATCGCCGCCGCGCTCGGAAAATTTCTCCAACAAGAACCTCATCCTCCGCCGCCCGGAAGGCAAAGGGAATTGGGTTTCACCTTCTCCTTCCCTGTCACACAAACCTCCATAGCATCCGGAACTCTTATAAAATGGACAAAGGGTTTCTCTATACAAGAAACGGTTAGCTGTCTCCATCAGGGATGGATGGGGTGCATTTTTGTTTTTGTTTTTGTCTTAGCGTATGTATGCTATTAACCACTGAGCCAGTATGTATGTAACTTCTGTTTCAGGTTGGACAAGATGTCGTACAAGAGTTGAGAAAAGCCATTGAAAGAGCGGGCCTTGATATTCGGGTGGCTGCTTTGGTACATCAAATTCCTGATTTGTCCATCCATGATTTCTTTGTTTGTTTGTTTGTTTGTACATACATGAGTATGTATGATGTATGAATGAAAGAAAGTACTTGTTAACCGATGGATGCATGTGCACGCAGATAAATGATACGGTGGGAACATTAGCGGGAGGTCGATATAGCAACCCTGATGCCATAGCTGCAGTCATATTAGGTACGGGAACCAATGCTGCATATGTTGAAAGGGCAAACGCAATACCAAAGTGGCAGGGTTTACAGCCCAAGTCGGGAAATATGGTAGGTAATTAATGAAGCATGCATTCTCTGCTCGTCTAGGCCCAATTCAAGATGCTAGCTTTGCATACATGATAAATTCCTTTCTACCCCCTTGCTTTCATCAGCAGTTGATTTTCCTGGTTTGGGCAGCTGATCAAGCACTGTTTACTTTTTTTTTTATTTGAAGGTTATCAACATGGAATGGGGAAATTTCCAATCTTCACATCTTCCTCTTTCCTATTATGATAAATGTCTTGATTCTGAGAGTCTAAATCCCGGAGAGCAGGTTATAGTTAAATATCACATGAGATTACATCTTACGTCCACATTCACCCTTCCTTTTGTTCATTGATATATATATATATATATATATATATATATATATATATATATATATATATATATATATATATATATATATATATATATATATATATATATATATATAATGAAGTATTACTTTCCTTCATTTGGAAGAAATTTTTTAATTTGTTTGTTTAAGCTTGATTAACAATACATTAAGCTAATCTTTCTTGCTGATATTTAAATCAGTATCAATAGTTACACTTATACATTTGTTCGAATATGATAAAAAAATATACTCAAAATTAAAGAATAAAAAACTATGAAAAGTAAAATGGCAATTAGTTATGGATGGAGGGAGTATATGTGTTCGTCTTCTCATATATGCGCAGATATATGAGAAGCTTATTTCTGGCATGTATCTCGGAGAGATTGTGCGTAGAGTATTGTGTAGGATGGCTGAAGAAGCTTACTTTTTTGGTGATACTGTCCCACCAAAGTTGAGGATGCCATTTATTATAAGGTATGCCATAGGGGTCTTTTCTCTATTCATCAAACAATCCATGAATTTTCTCATGCGCGCGCACACACATATACTATGTATATAACAGTTGTGATATATATATATATATATATATATATATATATATATATATATATATATATATATATATATATATATATATATAAAAGTAATGTTCTTTAGCGCAGTCCGGCCGACGACTTTTGTGATATATATATATATATAAGTAATGTTCTTTAGCGCCGTCCGGCCGACGGCTTTTGGCCGCCTTCCCTGTGGAATTTTTTGATCAAATTTTTATGGTGTTTTTCATCAAGTCTAGTTTATCCACAAAACAATTCAGCTAAAAACTCCCTCCGGAAGGTTCTCAAATGATTTTTTGAAGTTAACTGCGCTAAAAAATACATATAAACGCAGTTAAGTTCAAAAAATCATTTGAGGACCTTCCGGAGGGATTTTTTAACTGAATTGTTTTGTGGATAAACTAGACTTGATTAAGAACATCTCATAAAAATTTCATCAAAAAATTCCATCGGGAAGGCGGCCAAAAACTGTCGGCCGGACGGCGCCTCTGGTCCGGAATTCCGGACCAGATCATTTGTGTGTGTGTGTGTGTGTATATATATATATATATATATATATATATATATATATATATATATATATATATATATATATAATATATATATATATATATATATATATATATATATATATATATATATACTCCCTCCGTCACGCAATGAACTTCCCATTTTCCTTTTTTGGATGTCCCAGAAACAAGTTTCCATTTTCTTAAATGGCAAGTTAATCTAAATCAAAACAGTGCAAAACAGTGCCAAACAGTGTCGAAACAGTGTCAAAACAGTAAAATTTACCAAATGATAAGTTTATTTCCTTAATATGTGTGTAGGTCAAACTGTGAAGTTCATTGTGGGACGGAGGGAGTATATGTTTGTGTGCGTGCAGGCGGTGCATCATTTAGATAGAATGTTTATCATCATCTTGAAATCTTTCCTTCCTCTGATGCATGCATTGATACAGGACTCCACACATGTCTGCAATGCATCATGACACATCTGTTGATCTGAAGGCGGTTGACAACACACTTAAGGAGGTTTTGGAGGTAGGATGGTTGCACATGATTCCTCAAAATGGGTTAATTTTGTTAAGTATGAGATGATAGTTTTCATATGGACTAAATATAGCGGTACATAAACTAACTCATAAAGTTATGGGTACGGGTCATATGTACTCCGTACCATTTAGTTCAAATGGAATCCCAAGTTTGAATACAACTGTTCTCATGCAAGGCACACATGGATATATGAAGAACCTTTTTTATAGCATTGGCAAATATTAGCTGTGACACACTCCCAGTTTCTTGCCTGGCCCGTCATGTGTGTGTTTGTGAGTTTATATAGCTAGCAAGTTGGATATTGCTTTTGCGCTTGCATGCAGATACCTAACTCTTCCCTGAAAATGAGAAAAGTAGTCGTGGAGGTGTGCGACATCATTGCGACCCGTGGAGCCCGCCTTTCGGCTGCAGGAATCTTTGGTATCCTCAAGAAGTTGGGAAGAGACGGCCTGAAAGCGGGAGAGATTAACCACAAGAAGTCTGTAGTTGCGGTGGATGGGGGGCTGTTTGAGCACTACACAAAGTTCAAAACATGTATAGAGAGCACTCTCAAAGAGTTGCTCGGGGAGGCTTACCAAAACCTTGTGATTGAGCTTGCAAATGATGGCTCAGGTGTCGGAGCGGCCCTTGTGGCCGCAGCTCATTCACAATACCTTGAAGCGGAGTTCTAATATAAACTTTACTCTGTATTTATAATATTGTATGTTGTTTGATTTACTAACGTTTTGTATAACAGTAATACAAGTATTTACTTTGGCTACAGAACGGTAGTTTTAGTTTGCTTGCAATATAACCATTTAAAAAAGATTTTTTTTTTCAATTCAAGATTGAATGTTAAACTGATTTAGGTGGAATGAATATTTTATTCACAGACTGCGAGTTTAAATAGAATACATCACAACAACTAATTCCTTAAAATTAGGATCTAAGCTAAAACTATGCTAACAACCTTGACTAAGTACAATAGTTATCTAATTACAATTAAATAGATATATTCGAGTAAATTTAAAATAGTTAACACTCTATCTCAAGCTGGAGCAAAGATTTCAATCATGCCTAGCTTGACTAAAATTTCTTCAAACATTTACTTGAAGAGACCTTTAGTTAGTACATCTTGCTCAGTTGTTGGCACATAAGGAATGCATATTTCTCCTCCCTCGAGTTTTTACTTGATAAAATTCCGATCAACTTCCACATGTTAGTTCTGTCATGTTGCAATGGATTATGTGCTATGCTAATGGTAGACTTGTTATCACAATATAACCTCATGGGCTTCTCTAATGGCATCTTCAACTCGTTCAGCACACGTCTTACCCATATGACTTCACAGATCCCTTGTGCACTACTTCTTGATACAACATGATGTTTCTTGCTTCTCCATGTTACCAGGTTCCCCCATACAAAAGTACAGTATGCTGATGTAGATCTCCTATCAATACTACTGCCATCATAGTCAGCATTTGTATACACCTCCACTTGTGTGTTTTGAGTTTTCCTGAAAAAAATCCTTTTCCAGGGCTACCTTTAAGATAGTCGATAATTCTGTAGACAACTTTAAGATATTCTTCAATTGGGTTATACATGAACTGGCTGACTAAGCTTACTGCAAATGCTATGTCAGGTCTCGTGTGAGCTAAGTAGATAAGCTTCCCAACAAGTTGTTGATACTTGGTTTTGTCCACAACTTCCTCATTTTCACTTCTTCCAAATTTTTGATTTGGGTCAATTGGAGTTGAGACAGGTTTACATCCAAGAGACCTATTTCTTTCAGCAAATCAAGTACATATTTCCTCTCACAGATCACAATTCCTTTATGGGATCTAGCCACTTCCATACCAAGAAAGTACTTGATGGTCCCTGTTTCTGTAACAGCAATGAATAACAATCTAACGAAGAAGATTAAACGTAAGGATGAACACAGATTGAATCGATGTAAACCCTCTTTGATAGACCGTGAACTCGTACAACACAAAAGTATGCGTGTATGGCTATGAAGAATAAGTACGACGTTAACCTAATCCTAAACCCTCGACTCCCTTTTTATAGGCGAGGTTTAGGTTAGGCGTACAAGGCTTTTAGCCTGATTATATGGGCCTAACACTTGGCCCAAGTTCTATCTAATTCAAGCACTAATTAAATACAAGGATTAATAATAAAGCTAATCTATGACAAACTCGATTCACAATTAAAATATCTCCAACAATCTCCCCCTTTGTGATCAAGTGCCATTCTGTTATTGCTTTTGCGACTTGAAGTAGTGCTTCCTCATATTTAGTGCATGTTCATATTGCCTTAGCATATTTCTCTTTTCTAGGCGATCGTCAATGGCCTTTAAAATTGTCTCTACTGTAGAGTGTTCCTTTTGAACATAAGACGATGCCTCTTGAAGATTTTCCTCTAGCTCTGCCTTCATCTTTAGAAGCTGTTCTTTGATTATCTTCAACGTTCCGTCACAGTATTTCTCAATTTCATTGACTACCATCAGACGTTTTTCGTTCTTGTAGTTCAGATAAGTGACTGCTGGCGGTGTGAAGAAGATGTGGTAGGCTGGGAAGTCTTCGAGTTCTGGACCATACAGTCTTGTCTTTGTCAGATTTGTCTTTTTCAGGTTGCACTCAATAGCCATCTGTAGGTCATGTGAAGAATGTACTCTGATCTGTCTGAGCATGAATCTCTTGATTGCTGCAAGACCTTCGCTGTATATTATGCTCTGCCTGACTGGAAGGTATCTATAGGCCATGAACATTTGATAGATGTCGTCGGGTTTAAGCATGATGAAGTCATTCTCTTGGCAAGTAAATTCACTCCCGTCAGTGCATTGAAGTCTGTAAGTATAGAATGTTACTCCGTGATAATCTCCAGCCTTCACTTGTAGAATTTGATGAATCGGGAGAATATTTGACTTCAGATCTTGTTCCATCAGTTCTCTCTGAGTACCGGTTGACCTTTGTAGTAGCATATGCAGATGACCTCCAGCCTGCTTTCCTTTTAGATGAGTAAGGCCTCTTAGCTTCAGTTTGACTCTGTCTGGTCTACGCCAGATATGCTCTCTGATTTCCTCTTGGAAGGGAGCTTTGATGCGAACGTTATCCCAGGGTTTCTCTGTCTTGGGAAGTCTTCCCGCTGATTGTCTTACGACGGATTCAAGAGTTTTCTGGGATTCTTTGTAGTTCTCGCCTTCCTTGCGTTCATCGTCCTCGAGCCTAATGATATCTTCAGAGCATTTGTTGATTAGCTCTCTGTAGCCACCAATTTCTCTGCATGTCCTCTTGTTCAGCCTCATTACGGAGATCATCCCATTCTGTCCATTGTCTTGGCCATTTGTCATATATCACCGCCTCCTCCAGTGCATCGTGGATGTCTTTGCCTGGGGAAATGTATGGAACTCTTTGCTCCTTTTGAGGAGGTGATTGTTCCTGGGTAGCACAACCGGGTTCACTTGGATTGCCCGTTGACATCAGCTTAGAACTAGGTTCCAACTGATGGCCTGATGTAAAAGATGTACCAGTGGTAGCATCATCAGGACTTCCATCCCCTCCTCGGTTGGTATCTCTGGGAGATACGCCTCGGGATGTTATTTCTAGCTCGACCAGGCTAGATATTTTGGCTGTGGGTGGTGGCTGTTGGTTTGTCGAGGTTTCGGGTTGGATGGGTTGTGGAGTTTGGCTTGGTAAAGCAGTTTGCTCAAGTGATCGAGGTCGCTTGTTCTCCCCCTCATGAGGATCCGAATCATCGGGGTCCTCATGGGAACGTTTGCGACCACGAGGACTCTCCTTGCAAGTGCTCTTGGTTTCTGGTGAAGAAAGGAGGGCTTTGAGTATGGCTTGCTGATGAAGGGTAAGTTTGTCTTCAGGGGTGTTTAGGAGGTTATTCAGCAAAGCCGATGCAAGAGTGTCGAAGGATAGTGAGGATAGATCGATGGAGGGTGTGGTCAGGTGTGGGGAGATTACTGGTTCTGTATCCTGGGTTCCCCGAGAAAGTGAAGGAATAGGAATTTGGTTTATGGATTGGTGAGATAGAGGGGTGGAGGATACGGGTTGTGTATGGGAAATGAAAGGTTCGGGTGAAGGTTGGGGTGGTGTTTGTTCAGACCGAACCGCTTGGGTGGTCCTAAATTCCTGTGCTAGAGCGGTCATTGCATCTTGCACCCATGGTTTAATGGTGGAATCTAGGAAGCGATTTAGTAGAACGTTTATGTCTTCAAAGGTGGGGTGACCAGTTACGGGGGTTGTAACTGTTGGCACAACATCAGTGAAGATTGCTGATGTGTGGCCTGCATGCAATGATGGAATCATTGTGGGCGTAGCAGGGCTTCCAACCGTCATAGCTTGCGCTCTGGTTGTTGCGTTCAGGGTGTGTGCACCTGTATGTGCAGTGAATAGTGTAGGTGTCCTAGAAAATGAAGAAAATGTTGGGAATGTGACACCTAGACTCGATGTGTGAGAAGAAGGGGTTTTGACCTCGGGCGATAGGTCAATTGTACGCTCAACTGATTCAGAAGGAACCAGTGAGGGGGTGGAGTCCCATTCTTTTGAACCAATAGCCTGTTGAGAGGCTATCGAGTGGCTGGGAGAGGGCTGTGCTTGCGCAGTTGAGCCAGATGCTGCGACTTATACCCGGGAACCGAAAAGATCGGCTCCTGTGCTTAAGGATTCAGCTCGGCTTATTTGGATAAAGGTATCGCAACCCGCGAAGATATGCTCGTCTGCCTTATCAATCAGGCTCTTTCTGGCTCGGGGCTGGGGCTTTGCCTTAGAAGTCTTGTCATTCTTGACCTTGGCCCTTTTCTCCCGGATGACGACTTCTTTAGACTTCTTAATTTGATGAGCTGCCTCGTCATAGTCGTCCTTTGAGTAGTTTGTCTCGCTGAGATCAACTCTCGGTTTAGCTTTCTCCTTTATAGTGAAGACTTGGGGTCTGCCAGCGATTATCGGTGCTGCATCTTCAGCAGTGATTCTTTTCTTCTGTGGAGATTCGACTGGCAGCTTTCCTTTTCTGATCAGGGCATATGTGTGCTCCACGTCGTCACTGTCATTGTCGTCATTGTCATCATCCGAGCCAGATTCCCCGCTCTCTGTGCCCACGCTCTCGGATGCCTCATCGTCAGTGTGTGTTTGGGCATCACTTGACGATTCATTGGCAGTTTCCTCAGCGTCTGTTTCGGTGCCCTCTGCCGCCTGACTCGTCTCTAGAGAGTCGTCAGACTTTCCTTCATTGGGCGAACCGGCCACTGGTTTCTGTGGCTTTTGGGCTCTCTTTGGACCCTTACTAACACTCGGCTTCGTCCCAGGGGTAAGTCCAGCTGGGTTTTGCTGAATCATAGGGACGGTTCTCTCAGTGGCTTCCTTGTACTGCTGGACCGCTGGATTTGACGTTTTAACAAGTTTGAGCAGAAACTCAGGTATCCTCAGACCGAAGGTAGGATTCTTGTCTGCTTTAAAGTATTGCAGCTTCGGTGCGGTGAAGTGAGGATCAGTCCTGCGTCTTGGTATTGAAGCGTGCTCTGCCATGCAGTCGTGTATGATCAGCCCGAGCCACCTTGCGTACGGGATGGTACCTGGCCTGTTCTTTTCTTTGGCTTTGACCAGGTCCATTAGCTCTGAGAAGAGGAGCTGTGCCAAGTCGTAGTTTTTGTTGAAGGCGATGCCATGAAAGACTAGCAGTATCTGCTTGTTGCACTTGTCGAAGCCAGCATGCTTAGGCGACAGGCACTTGTTCACCAGCCCGAATAGATTTTTCCACGGATGGTGAAGATATGCTCCGTTGAAGTTGGAGAGCTGTGGCAGTAATGAGGTGTAGCCTAGGGATGCCACGTCTTTCAGTCGATCTGGGATGGACGGCAGCGCATCGTACTCGTCATGGATTGGCAGCGATAGAGTAGCCCGTAGAGTAGATGGTGTAAGAATCACCCGCATGCCGTTTAGCTTGGTCTTTATCTTTGAGCGATCCTTCAGCGAATCCGTATGCATATGACCCCAGAACTGTTGTAGGTATATCTCTGGCACCGGTTTTGAGTTGTGAAGTGCAGGCCAAAGATAGTGACCTTTCATGATTGCTGGAACTATGGGGTTCTGGCATTTGAACACCGCAAGGTCTAGCTGGAAATTGTTGTCCAGCACCTTGATCCATTTCCCTTTGGGGTAGATGGCATCATCGATCTGCGTTTGAGTGGTTCCTGCCATTTTAAACTGTAGAAGCAGGGGGTCAGCATATGAAATTCAACTGTTTGATTTGATTGAAAGAGTTTGATTTGCAGTTTTCAGATAAGTTTATGCAGGTGGAATTTTGAAAAAACTGCAAAGTTCAAACTCGAGATCTGAATCTCGAGATCATGATTTCGAGATTCGAATCTCGAGATCTTGATTTCGAGATTCAAATCTCGAGATCAAGATGTCGAGATGCAGATCTCAAGATCTTGATTTCGGGATTCAAATCTCGAGATCAAGATGTCGAGATGCAGATCTCGAGATCTTGATTTCGAGAATATCAATGTTATAATACCCCGAATGGCGATCGGGGTACAGAAGTAATCAGTTCCCCATGCTGCGATCCGACGGCTGCCGCTTCATTTCCCCATATTCATCATGATAACCGTCGTTTAGTCTTTTCATTAGACACGTGTTTAGCTTAAATGTTCCTAGTGACGTGTCGCTCTCTGATTGGTTCTCGACACGGCGGTTTCAAGGCTATAAATTAGCCTTTAACTTCTCAATTCCGGGTTTCGACTCTGCAATTCCTTGGCCTTCGTTGTTTCCTCTGCAAATTTCCCCCTGCTTCCTTTGCTCAGGTAATTTTCCAACTCCGGATTCCCTATCTTCATTTCTGGCTTCGATCGAGATGAGCCCCAAAGAGCATTCCTCTGATTCGGAGATGGCCTCTCATGGAGATGACCGTGACACCGCCATTGTAGATGCCATCCCAGTTCTGTTTGCCGGTGTTTCTACTGAGACGGCGACGAATACCAGGGTTGAGGCGGAGGACCTCCCTAGCACTTCTTCTTCCTCCAGTGAGGATTCCGACGACACCAAATCCGAGGACGAAATAGCCTCCATGGCGGCCGGACGTCCCAACGATGTTCCTCGCCATACCCTTGACCTAAAATTGATTAGGGAGAGGCGGCAAAAATTGACCTCTCACAATAGGGCCGAAATTCCGGCCCTTATCCCTGACCCGGTGGATTTCCGTTTGCAAGCTGGGCTTCACCCAATGCGTCATAGGCCCGGAATGACCATAGTCCATTTTGACTCAATTAGGGCCGGCCTTAGGTTTCCACTACACCCCTTTTTCATTTCTTTCTTCAATTTCTACGAAGTTTTACCGGCCCAGATCATGCCGAACTCCTATCGGGCAATGGCGGGTTTTATTTGTCGTTGCAAAGATGCCGGCGCCCGACCAACCCTAGAACTCTTTCACCAATTCTTCAAAGTAGTCCCCCAACAAACCCACGGCTATCTGGCCACTAGTGCCCGAACGGGACACATCCTGTTCAAGGGAAACCCAACTTCAATCAAAGGGTGGAAAGACCGGTTTTTCTTCGTGTCTGTCCCGGACGGTCTAATTCCCCGTAAATGGAATGCCTTCCCCCGCAAGACTCCTGATCCTGTCCTTACTGAAGAAATCTACAAGGACGTGCTTGATGTGGAGAAGGATAAATGCATGGACATCATGAGTTATCTGACTCCCGAGCGACTTATTACAGCCGGGACAGGTACTGCCCGTTCTCTTGGGTTTACTTGTTTTGATAAACCAAGTGCCATGGTCCGGGCGGTCCTTCCCGTGCGAGAAACGTTCTTTTATTCTTTTTTCTAGTTTATCACACGCTAAGGCCGCTCGATACTAACATTGTTCTTTGTCTTTTTTCAGCACCAAACCCAGATCTTCCTATGGATGACAATAGAGTTATCGCAGCCGGTGGGGCCGGTAAGCGGAAAAAATCCCGGAAGAACCCCCAACCTACTCCCACCATTATTCCAGCTCAGGATGCTGCCCCTTCTCAACCGTTTCCAGAGCCTCAGCCAATACAGCAGGTCCACCAGGACCAACTCGAGGCCATGCTGGTCGACGACCGGTTCGACTCTGACCAAATGCATCAATTTTCTCAGCATTTCGACTTCGTTCGGGGGGGACCCTCGAATGCAGGTGAGACCCACACCGATCATATTACGGGTCAGGTCGAGCGGATCTCCTTATCTGATCCCGTCCACGATGTTCTAGAAAGGGCCGGTTCTACCGCAAGCCAGATCTGGTCGACCTCCTCTTGGTTTAACAACTTTTCCCTTCCTCAGTTGCCGGTCGAGCAATCTGAAGAATGTCTGGCTTTGACCGCTCTGAAGGTACGTTATCTTTTGCGCTTTGTTTTATTTTATTCTCTGTAATCAGTACTAACTCTCGAACGGTACTCTGTAGATGGGTTTGTACACCCTTCAGATGCGAGAAGCCCGTCTGGCTAAGGAGCGGGAACTGATTGTCGCCCAATCTTCTGCTGAGCAAAATGCTGCTGCAGCCATCACCTCTCTGGAGGCCGAACGGAGGGCCTTTGCGGAGGAGAAGCAGAGGCTGGATGCTGAGCTCGGCACCCTTCGGGTCCAGCTTGCAGCTTCCCAGGCCAAGGTCCTTGCTGCTGAGGCCGCACAGGTTAAATTTGAAGAAATGCCATCCAGCATCCCGGACGGTCCCTATGAAGTCAACGTGGATCTGTCCGTCGTCCGGGAAACATTGAAATCCTCTGATGAATTCTCCATCATCAAGGATGATCATGCAAGGGCCCAAATCCCGTTCGCCTTTGGGGCATACTTGAAGGGTTTTCCCAAGGGTGCTGGCCGGCTATCGGCAGGGGTGGCCCTCTTGGACAAGGACCCCGAGGCCAAAAAATGGAACGACTCCATTGTCTCAGACCTCTATGGCAAAATTGGCCAGGTCTTGCTGCGTCCCTTCGTTGCTCAGCTTCAAGAAAATCTAGGGAGGTCGGTTCAGGCTTCCGATCTTCCCCAAGATGACATTATCCAGGCGCAGTTCGAGAAATTTCTGCGAGCCCAGCAACGGGAAGCTGATCGAGCTGCGGGGAAAGAGCCTGAGCCCCCGTCTGATGATGATGAGGATGAAGAGGAAGATGAAATGGCCCCCGGTCAATAATTCATATGTACTTTTTTTTAATTCTTGTTGTAATTTTCTTTTCTCCAAGTAGCATGTACTTTCCGGTCAGTAGAACCGATGAATATATATCCCTTTTTTGCCTGAAGCTTTGTGTACTTTCTTTTCTGTCTTTAATGCATGATTTACTCGTCATTCGGGATTCGGCCCATTTTGTAGGACTTAACCAATTTCCTAACTTTATTTCTTGCTCAACTACTCTTAATGCCGTTGATCGCCGTTCGGGCATTAGAAAGTTTTGATGATTTATTTAAGGAAAAACCCCTTCTCTCTGGTACTCAGCCGTTCGGGCTTCATACCAAATTTTAGGACTTAACACATTCTTGCTCCAGATAATCTCTAACAACGTTGATAGCCGGTTGGGCTTCAGATCAATCCTTAGGATAGCTTTTACGACGTTGATAGCCGGTCGGGCTTCAGGTCAACTTTTAGGACTTAGCAGTTTTCTTGGTTTTCATAATATTGATAGCCGTTCGGGCTTCAGACCAATGTTTAGGACTTAGCCGTTTTCTTAGTGTTCTTTCCACCTGGGCCTCTTCATAAGTTGGTAGCCGTTCGGGCTTCAGGTTGACATTCAGGACTTAGCATTTTTCTAAACAGCAAGTCTCTGTGATCTTTGCTAATCCTCTAAAAGCCCGTCCGAGGTACGTGCACAAAAAATGAATCATAAATGCCCCAGATTAATCGTAACAACCCAATGCCACGTGTTGCTCAAGGATTAGGGATTTGTGCGGCCCTTTCCCTATTTATAGAGAGGTGCTTCCCCTAATTTCTCCTGTTGTTTTCTCATTTTTCCTCAAGCTTTCTCTCTCTAGAATTCCCAGATTTCCCTTGCATACTCTCAAGCCTTCTCTCTCTAGAATTCCCAGAGTTCTTTCAGCGTTTTTATGTACTACTCCTCTAGCTCAGAATCTGAAGAGATGCCTTTGATTCGCAAAAGCAAAACATCCGCTGGTAACCAGGCCGAAGGCTCTTCGTCCCAAACACCTAAACCCGCCAATCCTCAGGCCAGCAAACATATCGAACTGCCACAGGAGGACGGATGTCTGTCCGGAGATGACCTCCAAGTTTACAACAAGGGGATGCCCGAGCGGCCACCCCGCATTGCCCTACACTTCAATCGCATACGCAAACACAAACAACGTCTCCCAGAAGATGTTGAACGGCAACTCAGCCAGTTGTTGCCCCCACCAAGAGAATACTATGTCGGATTCATTCGGCACCCTATGAGGCACCGACCGGGGCACGTGCTAGTGCACCTTGATGCTCTGACAGCTGGACTTCGGTTCCCTCTCCATTCATTCATAGTGGAGTTCTTACGCCGGGTTGCTGTACTGCCCGCTCAGTTCGTGCCCAGCACCTACCGCATTCTGACAGGCTTCATTATCCGGTGCCACGAGTTGAGGATTACCCCAAGCGTCGATCTGTTTCTTTATCATTACTGCTATCAGCCCTACTGGACGACCGGGTACCTGAAACTGGTAGCTCGTTCTGACCGTCAGCTGTTCACAGAGAACGTTACCCCGCAGGCTGACTGGGAGGAGCGGTTTTTGTTCGTTCGGGTAGGTGATTCTCTGCCATTCCCGGATAGGTGGAACGCATATCCCGTTCGGGATTCTCTGCCCAGGGTAGACGCCGTTCTACGCTCCCAAGCCGAGTCTTTGCGGATGGGAGGGACCAGAAGTCTTCGCAGCTTCGTCATTACTTCGAGCATGTTATCTGCTGGAATCGGTGAGCATAGTAGGGCTTTAACCCGATCATCCTTCGCTCTCACAATTCAACTTCTTATCTTTTATTTCTCTTTCTTGTAGGTGTGATATCTCCCATACCCGTCCGGCGCTCTATCTCTTCTGCTAAAGGGAAGGAGAAGATGATAGCCGATCATGACTCGGCGGAGCAAACCCGCAAAAAGCGCAAAGTAAATGATGGCGATCACCTGATCCCGATCGACCATGTGGTTGATTTGACCGGCCCGGAGGTCGAGCCCAAAATATCGGCGCCTGCCAACAAATCAACTCCGGTTCTTACTGCCACACCGATCGATGATCGGATGTTTGTTGAGTTTTCAAATATGGGACCCAGATCAGAGGGGAGGTATCTGTTCGGGCTGATGCCATCTTCTATGTGGTGTCATACTGCGATCAAAGTTCCCCCGAGCTTCACCAACTTGACTCACTGGTCGGATCTTTTTGAAGCAGGTCACCAGGAAGCACTCAAGGTACATTTCATTCCGACCCATGCCTTTCTACTATTCATGTTTTTACCTTATCTGACTTTCATTGAAATCTTATTCTCAGGCTGGCGTGTATTATCACAAGGCCTTTCTTGCCGCTGAGAAAGAGATGAAAGCCCTGGCCAGCGATCGGGATGATGGCCAGGTCCTTCTTTCTGCCGCTCGGAAGTTGGCGGCCGATCTTCAAGAGCAGGCCAAAGAGGGTGAGAAGGCAAAAGCTGCTCTGGCCGAGATGCAGGAGATGTCCCGTCGTCGCGATCGGGAGCTTAAAGAACTCTGGGCCAAGGTGCGGGCTGCTGAGTCTGCTGGTATTACATTTGACAAAACTGTTGGCGACCATCTGCCCGAACCCTACACGGTCAATACTTCCCAGATTGCTCAACAATCGATAGTGGATTTTCAACGGGGAAAGGGCCTGAACGTCGCTCTGGAGAACACGGCCCGACAATTCCTGGGTCCTCACCTTGGTCAATTCTTGCGTGAAAGCGAAGATCCCATCAAAGCAGGGATCGATCTTCTGGACAGCACGCCGGAAGGGAAATCTTTTTTGGATGTCCTGACCGAGAAAACTGTGAAGCAGAGTCAGGACCTTCTTCTGGACAGGAACCTTGAATTGATCCTCGAGCATTTCCCCAAGCCGTTCGATCCCGACGAATTAGGCTTCGACGATCTGTTCGGGAATACATATAATCGCATTATGGAGAAAAGGTCCAAAGCAGCGCCTGATGATGCAGTGCAAGCAGGGAACTCTCAGCCTACATCCTCCCCGAACGGCAATCCTCCAGTAGTGTAGCCTTCTTTCTTTATCTGTTGTCTCTTTTCTTGTATATTCATTCTTGTATATTCATTCTTCTTGTATATTCCGGTTAGTAATGCCGAAGAATAAACTGGACTTCTTTCCTTTGTCTGTTGTATTTTTTCTATCCTTCCTTTGATTTTTTTGTTCACAATCTTTTCTACGTGGCCGAACCTCACTCGGCTCATGTATCTTTATATCTGACACCTTTTCCGAACCCGTTTTGATCCCTTTTCCTGTTCGTGACGCACGGGTTCAAAACTCTTGGCTGAGGTGAATTCCTCCAAGCCGTTTTGATCGTGATCACAGGGTCAAACTCTCAGCTGGGATAGGGGCTCCCTCCAAACTGTTAACCCGTTCGACATTCGGTCATCCAGAATGATTTCACGTGTTAACAAGCTGAGGTGAGACTCTCTTCACAATTGTTCTGACACCTTTCCCGAACCCGTTTTGATCCCTTTTCCTGTTCGTGACGCACGGGTTCAAAACTCTTAGCTGAGGTGAATTCCTCCAAGCCATTTTGATCGTGACCACTGGGTCAAACTCTCGGCTGGGATAGGGGCTCCCTCCAATCGATTCTCATATTAACCGCTGAGGTGAGACTATCTGAGCGTCAAACTCCAAGCCGTTGGCTGATAATGACTTTCCTTCCATGCTGTTAACTCGTTCGTCATTCGGTCATCCGGAATGATTGAGTTAACCACGAGCACCGATTTTCTGAGCCTCAATTCTTCAAGCCGTTTTTGATCCCTTTATTCTTTCATAAATCTAGGGTCAAAAACTCTCTAAGCTGAGAATTGATTTTCCTTCCATGTTGTTAACCCGTTCGTCATTCGGTCATCCGGAATGATTGAGTTAACCACGGGCACCGATTTTCTGAGCCTCAATTCTTCAAGCCGTTTTTGATCCCTTTATTCTTTCATAAATCTAGGGTCAAAAACTCTCTAAGCTGAGAATTGATTTTCCTTCCATGCTGTTAACCCGTTCGTCATTCGGTCATCCGGAATGATCGAGTTAACCATGGGCTGAGTTTGTGTGGAAGTTATGTCTCCCTCTCTATATCTTTTTTTAGAGGTGGCAACAGCCGTTTTTATTGATAAAATTTCCTCAGATGCTCCACATTCCAAGTTCCTGCCGGTCGGCCTTCAGTATTTTGTAGGCCAAACGTTCCGGAAGCATACTTCTTACATACTTGGTAGGGGCCTTCCCAATTTTGTGCCATTTTGCCCCCTTCGAGCGGTTTGCTTTTCTCTCTCTTTCTTAGCACCAGGTCCCCTACCTCGATTGAACGAACTTTAACCTGCTTGTCAAAATATCTTCTCGTGGCTCTGTGATACTCTTCCATTCGTGCCGCTGCCACATCCCTTCTTTCTTCTATGAAATGCATTTCGGCCCGTAAGTTGTCTTCATTCTGTTCTGGGCTGTAATGCACCGTTCGGTGTGTGGGAACTAGGATCTCCGTTGGTACTTTGGCCTGGAAACCATAGGCAAGGGCAAATGGAGTCTCTCCCGTGGCCGTTTGGGGTGTGGTCCTGTAAGTCCACAGAATATAATTCAACTGATCAGGCCACGATGAGGAGTATTCTTCCAGCTTCTTCTTCATACCATCCATGATAGTTCGGTTCATATTTTCTACCTGGCCATTTGCCTGAGGGTATGTGACAGACGCTCTGGAATGCTTGATTCCCCATTTGACCAGGTAGTTCTCAAAATTCCGGCTCACGAACTGCCTTCCAT